GTTATTCATTTGTTTAATCATTATTAGAATAATCATACGTCTGTAATAGTATTTCTTTATCTTATTATTATGCTTTACTAGCATTATTCTTTCATTTATAATATTTAATCGTTTATATTATATTAGTCAAACGTTTGTCCATAATGTGAGATGTTATTATTATAACATATCTCTGTAGCTGTAGTTAAAGCAACTAGTCTGTCTGTCCGAATCACAATTGAATAAATCAATGTGCATTTGGGATGCTTAGACAGGTGTGTCTAAGTCCTCATAGACAGTATGTTCTGTTTATGAATATTACTGTGTACATTGTTTTATGGGGGGATTGTAGTCTTCAAGACAAGACGATTTGTATTTAGTATGCTTGTATAGGGGCACCAAAGGTTTGTGAACAAATAGAATAGATTGTATACATAGAATCAAGTAGATTCAGTGTTTAATGGAATAGATCAATGGTACTTATTGAGTGTAATATGATTAAATGTATTATATTAATGGTACTATAGCGAATAGTACACTGAAGCGTTTGAGGTAATACACATTACCACTAGGGGCAAATCATAGTCACTGAGACAATGATTTTAGGACGTTCCATTTGTAGGGGATTTGGTAAAAGCATAGTAGTGATGTAGATATAAGTAGGGAGCACAAGGCTCATAACCTGTTAGCCTGCTAAATCCTAAGGCATCTTAGAGGGGAATCACACAACAAGGGGTGTAGTGGACTCTGCTCATTGTTTGTTAAGCTTTATTGTCTGTTAATTAGAGTACTATTTATACTAATGATATCTATGTTTCAGATGTGTGTCCCAATTCAGTATGTTCTGTCACAATGACATACTTATGATAACATATATGTATACTATCCAAGACATTATGAGCATACTGATTGCTAATGTTAACAGTAATGCACTAACAATAGTATAGAAAAATACAAAGTACAATTAGTAGTTTAAGGAAACTATCAGATTGACAGCCTTAACTATTATACAGATGATTTATTTGCTCCTACTGTTAGACTATCTATAGTGTAATTAATATTAGTATGGGCAGCATCTAATAATTATAAAATACATCAGATAGATATAAAATTGGTATATCTATATGGACAATTGATGGAAGACAAAGAAATATATGTTAAACCTCCTCCAGGTAACTTAATAAACAGATTACAGAATGGACAAATATTACAATTACAAAAAGTACTATACAGATTAAAACAAGCTAGTAGAAGATGGTATAAAATGCTATCTAATATACTACTTAAATACAGATTAACAAAATCTGAACATGATAATACTGTATTCTTTACAAAGAAGAAAGAAATAACTGTAGCCATATTATTTGTACATGTCAACAATATTACTATTACAGTAATGAATAATAATACTATTGTAATAATAAAACAATCTATTGTATGTTATTTATAATATACAGACAGTAGCAAATTACATTAGCTACTTAGTATAGAGATTCAATACAACAGAGAGCATAGATTCATTAGGATGTGTCAGACACATTATATTAATAGTATAATAGAATGTTACAAACTTACAAACATACAAAGTGTACAAACACTCATACAACCTGGTACACAATTAAAAACAGTATTGTAAACTGATAACAATAGAAAACAAATGTCTGATATACTATACATGAACATAGTTAGTGTACTTAGATACATTGTAGACTGTACACAGCCAGATATAGTATTTGTAACAAATCAGTTAGCTAAATACTTTAATGACCCTAGTATAGAGTATTATCTAGTACTTAAACATTGTTACATGTACTTAAAAACTATGAACAATGTCTGGCTCCAACTCAGTAGTGCAAATCAATCAATATTGAACAGATATACAGATACAAACAGTATGATACAAGAAGGGCATTGTGTAATATCAGGATATACATTTTACTTAAGTGATTTATTAGTTTTGTAGTCAAGTAAAAGACAAACACTGGTAGCAAATTCAACATATAAAGCTGAATTAATAGCTCTTATAAGAGGAACACAAGAAGTAATCATACTTACTCATTTAGCTGAAGAGATTCTGCAGGTCTCTGAAGCACCAATTAATATTTATTACAATAACAACACTGTTATACAAACAGTTACATCAGACAAACTCAAATACTCAGAACAGACAAAGCATTTAGATTATAAGAAAGATTTTATTAAATACTATATTGAGTTAGAGTACATAAATGCAAAATACATACAGACAAATGATCAAAGAGTGAATATATTAACAAAAGCACTATATGTACCACAAGTCAAACATCTTACTAGTTTACTCAGACTAGTAAGAGTTTGAAGGGGAGTATTATGAGATAATGAGTTTATTACAAGACAATGACTTCATAATGTCTTAGTTAGAATACATACAATATAAGAACAAGAGACACTGAGTGGTTAATTGTCACCTTGCCCCTTGTTCTTGTGTGCCTTCTCTCTTTACAGTTTAGGAAGTGGTTCCTGGTCAGCTGCCTTTGTTAGTATTCTTATACATTTATTTTTACTTACTATTAGAATTCCTTAATTACTTGAATAATTCCTTTTTGGATTACTACAGATTAAGTGATTTTAGGTACTATTTTGGGAGCTGTAATAGGCAGGTGTCTTATTTGTAACTGGGATAATTGGTACCTCCTTCCAAGCTGAACTGTGTGCAGGAATTGCTTTCTATCATGTCTTAAGACTGTCCTATTAAAGAGGTTTTATAAATTACAAATTGTTTATTGTCTAGTACCTTACTCTCCCTATATTTACTATAAGAGTAGCAAGTTCTCTAAGTGTTAACAACCTGTTAGCTGCCTTTACTACTAGTAACTTGCATCTGCTTCTAAGGTGTTAATACTGAAGGTCTGATACAGACAATTTAGGAAACACTATAGTCTAGAATAGCTATTTTAATACACATGTTAAAGAACAGGTCTTTGTGTCTGTTATTGACCTAGTATTCAATTGTACATGTTTTATCTACATTAGTACTTAGATTCCCTTTAACAAATACAGTACAATGGAACTTGGTCTTGAACTATAGTACCTTATAGTCCTCCTAATTGTTATCTTTATAATTTGTTGAATTCTGTGTATCTTTTTACTATATAGACTTGTTTCTAATGTTAAGGACTGGTGTGAAGCATTATTTTGTAGGCATTTTGGTGAATACTGTCTGTGAACAATATATGTTTACAAGAGAATCTGAGTTTTTCTGTGTTTAGAGCTCATAAGTGTTAGTATGATCTTTGTTTCATGTTTGGCTTTATTAGAACTTCTACAGTCTAGCAGTTTACCCACTTTGCAGAACAAACTTCTGACTGTATTGCTTCAGCTAATTATATTGTTTACTGTACTAGTGTCCATTATTATTTGTAAGCTTGTTACTATTACTGTGTGTTCTACTGTATTAATCTACTTTATTTGCTTACTAGATGGATTTTCTATTCTAACATTCTTGTTTGTACAGAACCTTACAACTCTTAGCAAACATCAGTCTAGTGTTGCAACTAAGCAAGATGAAGTTGGGGAGCTCAGTGAATTACCTGTTGCTGATTGACAGAAACCAGCTTCCTATGTGGATTTTGGCTTAAAATATGACTATAGACTAAATACTGTTAATATTGTAGAGATAGAATATGTTAGTATTACAGGATCAAATTGAATCATTATTGGCTGGACCCAAGCAGTGCTAAATGTTGACAAAGATGTCAATAGGAACAATTTATCTTTTATGTTAACTTCAACCCCTCCTTTCTCTTAGTATGTATCCTCTTCACAAATGACAGCAGCTTTATAATCTTGTAGAACAAAAAGCTAATGAGCAGAGTTTGTTTGCATGTTTGTCCTGTTACATTGTGTCTCCTTAATGATTTACCACAGCTAGGTGTTTGATCCCTTCTCCTATCTGCACCTATACCTGAGAGTGAGTTTTCTAAACACAAAATAATGTGTCCTTTATTTAGGCCCTGCTTGGTTGTACTGGTTGTGCAACCAGTGCCTGCCAAATTTGCAACCACCAGTTACACAACCAGTGGTTGCAAACCATCAACCATCAGACGTGCTCGGCTGCACGTCTGGTTTCATAGTTGTGTGACACTACTTGTCCCTTACTACACCTGTTACACTATGCTCTCTACATTTCCTTATTACTACTTCTCTCTTGTATTGTATTCCCCACTTGTATTCTACTGGCAATTTAATAATTCAAGCTTTGAATGTCCAAACCAACTATAATAATATAATATATCTGTCATATATGCCTAATTATATGTGCATATATGCACCTAAAGTCCTAACTTATGTTTCTATTTATTTATTTGTGTCTCAATTATATCTACACTGTATAGTACTTATGTTAGGACACATAATTATATACTAATTTGAAAGGATAAATGATGAAAGATGAAGGGAAAGTAATGAGTCTATACACTATACTACTTGTGACCAAAGTGACAAGGTTGGCACTGGTGATTGACGGTTGTACCGGAAATTGCCGGCCATCAACCACCAACCTGCGGTTGCGCGACCAGTGCAACCGAGCAGGGCCTAATATATCTGTAGCGCTTTGTGTGTACTTATGTGTCTATGTTTGTAAGGATCAGCACAGGCACTATTCGTCTTGTCTGCCATCCTAGAGTAGTTTTCCTGGCGGGATAGAGTACGACACGATGCTTCACGTTACGGAAGTACGTCTTTTACTGCACTACTCATGCGGTAAACGAGCGTTCACCACAGGTTACAGCAGCTAGTCTTGCATACCTGACCTTGGTCGGCTTCGTTGTTGCAGTGAGTAATGTTTTTATATCGCTTATAGCGAACAATAATCCGCTTATTAACCATTTACAGTACAGTTCAGTGACTTTGGTCATGAAGGATAGGGTATGTCATCTTTAAACACTGGAAAGAGTCAAGCTATCTACGGAATGTGCTAAATCTTCCACTGTATTTTAGTTATTCATTGGAGAAGTTGTATTCGGAACGATTTTCGGGATGGAATATTTGATCCTCGATCATGGGGTGCATCTGTGGAACTACAGAACAGAATAACACTCGAGTTCATGCGGGTTGTCCTTGCCACTGGATTATTTGCCGTCGGCGTTGAACTCCCAAATAAGTATCTGGTTAAACATGCAAGGAGCTTGCTTATCATGGTGAAGATCTCAATTGTTCGCACATCAGACCATATCCAAGCTAACTCTCTTGTAGGTTATGCCTACTATGGCATTTGGCTGGCTAGTGGTCGCAGGTGAGCAAACAATATTGTTGAGAGCCTCATTGGGTGTCACGCAAATGTCTCCTTCATATTCTAGGAATTATCCATACACTGTTCCCTGCACTAACTTATGTCTCTGCCCTTGCAATTGCCGCATGTCTTACGCCAACAGACCCTGTACTTGCTGCTGCAATCATAGGAGGTAGATTTGCAGACAAAAGTGTACCGGCTCATTTGAGTCACCTCTTAAGGCATGTTCCGACATTGTTACAAACCACGTGCTTCTCTTAAGGGTCATATTTACTGTAGTGCCGAATCGGCAACAAATGATGGTCTAGCGTATCCGTTTTTGTCAATCTCAATGTACCTTGCGGTCGAGACGAGTAAGAGGGCCGCGTTCGGGAAATGGTTCCTAATCGGCTGGCTTTGTCAGTGCTCTTTTACATTCCCTTTACTGGTATCAGAATACCTAAGCTATCGACATGATTCCTTGGTGCACTACAGATCAAGTGATTTTGGGTACGATTTTGGGAGCTGTGATAGGTAGGCAGCTTAAGTACGAGTTGATAATTTCCACCAGACTGACCTGTCTGCAGGACTAGCTTTCTATCAAGTCTTGAGGTTGTCTCATCGAAGAGGTTTCATAAATCGAGAATCATTCATCGCCCAATATCTTGCCCTTGCTATATTTACCATAGGAGTTGCAAGTTCTCTGGGTGTTGATGACCTATTGGCTGCCTTCGCTGCTGGTACCTTGCTGCAGCCCTTGATGCGCTAATACAAAATATCTGATGTAGCACTTCAGGAAACGCCATCTCTTGGGATGGCCATTTCAATGCACATATTGAAGGACAGGTCTTTGCGTCTGTTATTGACCTAGTATTCAATTGCGCTTGCTTCATCTACATCGGTGCTTGGATCCCCTTTGACAAATACGGTGCGACAGATCTTGGCCTTGAACCATGGTGCCTTGTGGTCCTCCTAATTGCAATCTTTACAATTCGTCGAATCCCGAGTATCCTTTCTCTCTATAGATTTATGCCCGATGCCAAGGACTGGCGTGAGGCGTTGTTTTGTGGGCACTTTGGTGTGTACTGGCCGAGAACTATATGTGTTCACGAAAAAAATTTGACTTTTCTGTGTGCAGGGCCTATGGGTGTCGGCGCAGTCTTTGTTTCATCTTTGGCTTTATCGGAGCTTCCGCAGCCCAGCAGTCCGCCCGCTTCGCAGAACGAACTTCTGGCTGCTTCACCCGATAATATCATTTGCCGTGCTGGGATCCATCATTATTCGTGAGTTTGTTGGCATCTCAACCGTTCTACTGCATTGACCCCCACCTCGTTCGTTCCATAGATGGGTTGTCAATCCCAGCATACCTGTTTGTACAGAATCTTGCCACTCTCAGCAAGCACCAGCCCAATGCTGTGACTGAATTGGATGGTGTTGCGGAACTCGGTGCAACACCCGTTACCGAATGACGGAACCCAGTTCCTTGTGTGGAATTTGACATGAATATGACTCCAGAGTAGATGCTGTTAGGAAAGATAGAAGTTTTACGTTGCGAAATCAAACTTAGCTATGTCATCGGCTGAACCCCAGTGGTAATGTCTGAGGAAACTTATTCTTCACATGTAGCTCAACCCTCCTTTCATCTCAGTAACTATCCTCGCCGCAAATATGACTGCAGTCACATCCTTTGGATCACAAGGTGGAGCCTTTTATTTCGTGTTTGTCCTGTTCCATTCCATTTCCTCAATCCCTTGCTACATGTAAGCATGTGATCTCTTCTACAAGCTTCTCCTTGACCCCTCTATATCGTTATCTTGAAGTCAAGGTCTATTTCAACAGTCTTGGTTCCTCTAGGAGCTTTAAGGTTAAGTTTCTAACTTAGAAAGTCGAGGAGAATCATTGCAACGATGCATCAGGCGAGAAAATAATATTAATCGACATACTTTGGGAGTCTAATCTTGACCCGAGAATGCATGCACCCGAACAAAGTAATGCGATCTCAAAGATCAAGCATTACATCGAAAAGACAAAAGGCGCACTTATGAATGGAATAGATTGTCGACCGCGTCTCCTGTACAAATAAACAATGGGATGAAAGGCATGAATCGAGAATCGAGTCACTTTGTTGGCATTGCACAAAGCTGCTTATTCAAAGATAATATATATACTACAAATACAAGTCACTTAAAAGTGGTTCCATATCACACTCATGGCATTCCTTCGGATAGGCCGCAACAAAATCAATCTCGATGTTCGTCCAACCAACCTCAGTGAAGTTGTAGAAGAATTATGTTACAGTAAGTTTCTTTCCTTTTTTTTCTCAATTCGGTCACAGTCATCTAGATTCTGCTAGTACATAAGAAAGTCAAAGGTTGGCTATTCGAGATAATACATAAGGAAGAGGAATGTCAAAGTAACTGTTTCCAGTTACCCACTCCATGAATATACTGACAGATTCACGTATTTCCGAGCCCAGAGATAGAAGCAATGATCAAGTATATGGAAAGGGTCTACCACGCGTGGGGAGACGATGACGACGGTATCATAACATACGGAATCCTAGATGCTTATGAAACACTTGAAGAACTCACTAACGAGAGGATCGCGCTTGGGAATCGTATCATCGAGGTTCTCAAGAATTTCGAAGAGCAGCGGATTCCCAGTATCGACGGAGGTCGCAAACAGAGAAGTGTCGCTACAAGACAGCAGGACGAAAATGATGAGGTTTCGGATGAAATTTGTAAGATAGCTACCGAGATATCGCAAAGGCTAGATGCCACCGTCCACATCAGGAAAAAGTCAGATTTCTTGTAATTTCTTATAGACTTTGTAAAGTAACATATGTATTGTATATACATTATAAAGTAATTATAAGGCTTGTAATTGAATTGCAATGTTTAAATAAGACATATTAATGTATATAAAGACTACATAAGTACTAGGGATGAATAAAAATCTATTACATGTATTATACTAACTTTATATAACAACCTAAAGTGTTATGCTTGTATTATATTTAAATTATAATCTTAAAGAAAGAGTTATACTTATAATATAATAATGTAATAATTACTATTGTTGCCTTATAATTTATACAAAAGGTATATTAATGTATATCATACTTAGATTATTTATACAAGCAGTTTACAATTATTGTAAAAGGCATTTCATCTACTTGTAATAATTACATTAGTATGTTTAGAAAGCTATATACATGTCATATTTCTTTTTACTGTATTACAAAGTAGATCAATAATTTTATTTTATACCTAAATGCAATAATTGAAATGTTCTATCAGTTGACGACTCATATTATAGTTACTTATGTAATCAACTGCTGAAGATCGGGAGCATATAATGACGCATTTCTCTTCGTCACTCCTTTACCTCCTACCTTCACCGTCTCCCCAACCCTCTGCCCCCAACGCTATGTCGTCGCCTCTGTTCTCTCTAGTCGAGTCCTCTGCTCACAAGCGTCCTACCAGCAGGCACTCTGCCTGCAACGACATAGGCAACAAA